ATATATATATATATATATATATATAACTGAATCACTTTGCTGTACACCAGAAACTAACACAACATTGTAATTCTACTTTAACTAAAAAAATAGAGAGATTGGCATGCAGCAGGTACTTAAATACTTTTTCAGTGAATGGATTCATGAGTGACTCAGTATACCAATTCTCCTTTAAGAAGGATAGTTGTGGGTATATATAGATATATATCTTCATTTATGTTATTTTTATGAATACAATATGTTATTTTAAAGTTCTGAAAATTAGAAATCCATGATATGAGACCTGTTCTTGTAAAAATGTCTTTCTAGAATTTAAAAATTATACTGATGATGCTAACTCTCACAATTGCAAGGACATTTAAAAAGATGAATAAGGGGGTTAGTCAGCCCTCTAGTCAGATGACAGACCTTTTTAAGTAAGCCTATTTAGATACTTCCTTCTGCATGTGGAACTTCTAATTAAGTTATGAACTCATAATTCCCTGGGGTTTTGCCACAACATTCATCAATTCAGTTTTCTCAGTGACACATAAATGCCACTCAAAACATACTTCTAAGTAAAACTCCCTTGTCATTTTTGTTTTTCCATCTAAAAAGTACTCTCTACTACAGGATGATGAAAATTCAAAGAATAAAAAATATATAATTGAGTTGTATTCCAGGTATAAACAGTTGGGAAGATCCCCTAGAGAAGGAAATCACAACCTATTTCAGTATTCTTACTTGGGAAATCCCATGGATAGAGGAACCTGGTAAGCTACAGTCCATGGGGCCACAAGAATCAGATATCTTACGAACTAAACCATTCTGTACCACCAGGTAAAGAATCTCATTCCTCAAGTTGATATGTGTATACAACATTAAACAATCAGTGTTTCAAACATTCAACATTGGTATTTCCTTATTTAAATCTGCAAGCTCTTCCTTAAGTACCAAATCTTTGGAAACACTGATCTATCTTCTAATCTATACTGCTATCTTCTAATCTCTGCTGGAATTTCTTTTGGATTTTTTGGGTCTATAAATACTTATTGACTAGTTTTTTAAAAGGAAAATACCAGAAAAGCCTATTAAAAATCCGCTCTCAGTCTCTCAATCTAGGGTCACTATCTTTTGACTTAAAAACTACTGTCCAAGTAGCAAATAACCAAGCAACTTAACTAGTATCTCTTAGTTCCACTTACAAATAATTTCAATTGAGTTCAAGTATCTATGTACATTCAGACTCTTACATGGCTTTCCTATATAAACCAAGCACTTTTATAGACAATATAATTCTTCTTTATTTTCAGCAACAAATCCATTCAAAATCTGTTAGCCAGTTTTTGCAATAACAAACAATCCCAGTAGCTCTGTGGGTTATAACAAATGTGTATTGATTGCCTAAGTTCATGACGGTGGAGGCTCTGCTGAGTTTGGTTGAGCTAAACCTTGGCTCTATGAAAAGTATCTTTTCAAAGGAGTAAGCTAATATCTTGGACATGCTATTCTTATTTTGGAGGGAAACATCGGAACTGGGTACCAAACCATGCACAAGGTATGTCACATTTGCAAGCACATTTAAAACTTCTACTGAGGCAATTTATTTGTTAAAGAAAGTAATATCACACAGGCCTAAGTCCGTGGAAAGGAAAATAGACTGTCTCACAGAGAAGCATGGCAAGGCTATGGAGGGAATAAATATTTGTGAAGTAATGTAACCTACCACAGCCTGCTCTCACAAATATCCACTTCCTTTTTGTAAACAAAATGTAATCACCAGATCCTAAAGATACTCCAAGGTCTGATCTAAACCTCTAGCTTGAAATTCAGGATCTTGAGTTTATATCATGCCCAAATATAGCTCTATTGAGCCAAGTACTATGAAATAAAACACTTGTTATTTGTACCTACCTGTGATAAAATACATACCTTCACACCCATAATAAACTAGTGTAATCACAACAAAAACTCTCATTTAGAAAGGGGAAAAAGGGTGGGGGGAAATCCAGCAATCACTGGTTCACAGAAGTTCTGAAATCCCATGGAGGAATTGTTACAAGGTCTACAAATCTCTGTGTAAGGAACTTTGCTTAATCAATCTTTGGTTTTGTTTCCTAGGAGTGGCTTCACAGCCTATTGTACTTCATAACTCTTGACTTCACCTTCTGAGGAGTCCTTCCTTTTCCAATATCCTCTTTGGGAGAAATGTCCACCTTTGGCTGCCAAACAGCTTCTTCATCCTGTCAAAAAAGTTGAGAGCTCAAGGGTAGTTTTATTGCTTAAACAATCACAAACTCTTTTAATTCGGGTTGGTAGTAGCAATTTTGGCACACTACAATTTTTAAAAAAACATTAGTTTTTTTTTTTAAATATCTTTGTTACCTATTAGTGCTTCCTGCCAACAGCCAGATTCATAATTAAAAGACTTCTTTTAGGCTTAATTACAGATAATTTATATTTTTCAGGCTTCCATTAAGCCAATCTATGGTTTCTTTACCAGGAGCCATTCTGTACCAGTGAAATGACTTACTGGGGATTACTTTAAAGGAATTAGAGGTCTTAACAAATGGTGTGGTGACAACAGTCTTGATTTGGTCTTTGCTCCCCAGACTGAATCACCATGATGATCGTCATATTATTATCACAGACTGAATCACCATGATGATCGTCATATTATTATCATTAACTGGGCTTACTTTTACTTAATAGGATGAAAATATTAACTTTTCATATTCATGAAGGATGACAAAAACTCTTTATAGGCATTTTATCATATTGCTTTTTGAAGACTGTTTCTTGTCTTCTGATCTTTATAATGGGCTTCTCCAAGATAATAGATAATATAAGTTGCTCTTTCTCCTATTTATCCACTTAAATTAAATATCTTTGACGGTATACTGAAAATCACCTACTATCTTGAAAATACATGTTACTATATGAAAATATGGTAATTTAATATTCAGGATTTGCTCAACTTGCTAAATTGCTGATGTGCTTTAATTCACCAAAAATAATTAAAATTATTCCATGTAATAGAATGTACACAGAATTAGAAAATGACCATCCATGCCCTTGACTTGGTCTTTGCATTGAGTCTTTGTCTTAATCTGCAAATTATTTTTTGGCTGGAGATGAGAAATAGTAATATCTTTCAACTCTGTCTCTGGATTTCTGCATCCTTCTTTTCCCTTCCATTCTCATTTGAAAAAATTCCAATTATTTTCTGAGTTTACCTTACAAAGCCTAATAAGCAATTCTGGCAACCTACATTCTGTCTTGAAAATTATTTGAAAGTTTAAAGGTATATTTTCTGACTTTCAAGTTATCTCAGGTAGCAGTATTACTAAAACTTTCATTGTTGCATAAAATAGGTCATTTTTCCAGCCTCCTTTAACATCAGGGGCTCCCATAACAGGCACAGTAATAATAACCTCATATTTGAGTTTATTCAGTTCAGTTCAGGTCAGTTGCTCAGTTGTGTCCGACTCTTTGCGACCCCATGAGTCACAGCACACCAGGCCTCCCTGTCCATCACCAACTCCTGGAGCCTACCGAAACCCATGTCCATTGAGTCGGTGATGCCATCCAACCATCTCATCCTCTGTTGTCCCCTTCTGCTCCTGCCCTCAATCTTTCCCAGCATCAGGGTCTTTTCAAATGAGTCAGCTCTTTGAATCAGGTGGTCAAAGTATTGGAGTTTCAGCTTCAACATCAGTCCTTCCAATGAACACCCAGAACTGATCTCCTTTAGGATGGACTGGTTGCATCTCCTTGCAGTCCAAGGGACTCTCAAGAGTCTTCACCAACACCACAGTTCAAAAGCATCAATTCTTCGGTGCTCAGCTTTCTTTATAGTCCAACTCTCACATCCATACATGACCACTGGAAAAACCATAGCCTTGACTAGATGGACCTTTGTTGGCAAAGCAATGTCTCTGCTTTTCAATATGCTATCTAGGTTGGTCATAACTTTCCTTCCAAAGAGTAAGCGTCTTTTAATTTCATGGCTGCAATCACCATCTGCAGTGATTTTGGAGCCCAGAAAAATAAAGTCAGCCACTGTTTCCACTGTTTCCCCATCTATTTGCCATGAAGTGATGGGACTGGATGCCATGATCTTAGTTTTCTGAATGTTGAACTTTAAGCCATCTTTTTCACTCTCCTCTTTCACTTTCATCAAGAGGCTCTTTAGTTCCTCTTCACTTTCTGCCATAAGGGTGGTGTCATCTGCATATCTGAGGTTATTCATATTTCTCCTGGCAATCTTGATTCCAGCTTGTGCTTCATCCAGCCCAGCATTTCTCATGATGTACTCTGCATATAAGTTAAATAAGCAGGGTGACAATATACAGCCTTGATGTACTCCTTTTCCTATTTGGAGCCAGTCTGCTGTTCCATGTCCAGTTCTAACTGTTGTTTCCTGACCTGCATACAGATTTTTCAAGAGGCAGGTCAGGTGTTCTGGTTAACCCATCTCTTTCAGAATTCTCCACAGTTTATTGTGATCTACACAGTCAAAGGCTTTGGCATAGCCAATGTAGCAGAAATAGATGTGTTTTTTTTTTTGGAACTCTTGCTTTTTCGATGATCCAGTGGATGTTGGCATTTTGATCTCTGGTTCCTCTGTCTTTTCTAAAACCAGCTTGACCATCTGGAAGTTTCACGGGTCACATATTGTTGAAGCCTGCCTTGGAGAATTTTAAGCATTACTTTACTAGTGTGTGAGATGAGTGCAATTGTGTGGTAGTTTGTGCATTCTTTGGGATTGCCTTTCTTAGGGATTGGAATGAAAATGGACCTTTTCCAGTCCTGTGGCCACTGCTGAGTTTTCCAAATTTGCTGACATACTGAGTGCAGCACTTTCTCAGCATCATCTTTCAGTATTTGAAATCGCTCAACTGGAGTTCCATCACCTCCACTAGCTTTGAGTGTATTGTTTTTGTTGTTATAGCAGTGTTACGCCTCTAGGTATAAATTTATTAATCAATTTTTGTTGATTATTTATGGTGACTAATAACCCCAATTCTGGCAACTTGCAACTACAGTCACTTATCATTCATATTACTGGGTTCTGCTGGGGTCTTTTGGGTACACCTTGCATGTCTATGTCTTCTCTCTTTGAATGTACACCTGTACACCTATGTCTTCTCTCTTTGAATCAAATCTGAGGAGGAGACACTGTCTGAAAGATGCCTTCCTGACAATCAAAGGCAGGAATAAGAGGAGTGTCAACCACACAAGTGCATTTATAGTGTCTGTCCAGATGTGTTATATCTGCTCATATCCCATTGGTTAAAGCAAACCACACAGCCCAAAGTTAACAAAGGTTAATGGGTGAGGGGAGCAAATGCTGACCATAGGACAGGAAGAAAAAGAACGAAGAAAAAATAAAATCTATTTCAGGAAATATTTACTAAACAAGAAACTGCGTTCCTTGCAAGTGCTAAAGATATTCTGTAAACAAAGTAGTGTCTCCGATCTCAGATAACTCAGTCTAGTGGAGAATTCTGCAAGTAAAGAGGCAATCAAAATATAATGTCAGAAGTGTATAGGGACTCATGGCATTTAACCTAGAATTAAGACATTAGGGAAGGCTTCCTGGAAGAATGGTAATTAAACCAAAACGTGGATGGGGAACAGGAGTTAGATGGTGAAAGGAGTTGAGGAGCAGTGGACAGGGAGAGAATTCTCGGCAGCTCAGGATGAGCAAAGCCTGAAGCCACGAGAAAACATAGAGAACCAAAAATATGTGAGTATGGTTTGAGGACAGAGATCAGTCCTCTCAAATACACAGAACAATGGCTGAGTACTTTATATTAAAAACACAAATGCTGGCTTTAAAACTGTGGAGTCACAAGTCCCATAAACAATTTCACATTAGTATACTGTTATTCACTGAAAACTGGAAAAAAAAAAATTTCCTGTGCCTTTCAGAGGTGGAACAACCCGGAAAGCACGGGCATTTATACTTAAACCAAGCCAGGGTGAAATGCAGAAATAATAGGATTAAACTGTTTTGTGGCCTGGCACTTTTCTCCAGCGTGCTCTGTGGGAGAAATCCTCAGTGCTGAAATAGAGAATGCTGTTAATGTGGTAATTATTTTATTATCAAGGGCAACTACTGGCAAGAAAAGAATTGCCTTGAGGTTTATAGTTTATGCCACTGATCAGAAAATACAGTTGCTTCTGTCAATTAACTACTTTAACCAGGTTTTAGAAAAACATAAATGAAAATGCAGTTTTAATCGATCACATCTCAAGGGCGTGGCTTTGAGTTTGGTGTAAGCAGTGTGAAGGAATCTGAAGAGGATCCCTTCATAGCAACTGCTCGGAGGAAGAGTCCAGCAAGCTCACAACATGGAGAGGCTCCCCTGTCCTTTTAAAATGCGCAGCTGGGGAATGTTAACATGCTGATGACAAGCATATAAAAATATAACACTTCTGGCTCAGTTTGTACTCATTGTGCATGTATTTTAAAAGGAGGAATCTTGTAAATGTCAGCCATAAACTGCTTTCAAAACAAGTTCTGGTAAGGGATGCCTTTGCAAAGCAGTCCAGAAAATGGACACTTTAAATATTCACCTTTAAGACACTCTTTGCACTTTCCTTAAGCACCTGTGTAGTTCTGCTGCCCTAAATCTGTAAGGACCAGTCATAAGAAGAAAAGTCAGAGTGAAAAAAAAATTCCAGAATCATCAAATTTGAGATCAAATGATGATCCAGTATGAATGAACTACCCATGATCTTTTTATCACCAAAATCCTGAACACATGATAATGTATTTGTATCAACTCCAACCATTGGTTGTCATGTTGTTGAGTTTACACCTGTGATCTTGTCACAGGCAAAAGTAGTGAGAAGGCAAAGTATGCCTATGTTGTCTTCCATTCCCCCAGGATCTCACTTTTGCTTGCTATAAAATGATCTCCTTTTCTCCACTCTAGTGTCTGTAACTGCCCCTACTGGCTGCTTAACCAAGCTCTGGACACTGTGCTAATCAAGTATGTACGTAATATAACAATAGTGGTAACCATGTTTCTCTCATCTTACAGATAAGAAAACTGAGATACCCCAAACATTAAATAATTTTCTCAATCTCGTAAAGATAGTAAAATGGTAGAGGTAAGATTCAAACCAGATCTCTTTGACTATAAGCACATTCATAATGCCAACCACAACACTGCCATCTGTGTTTGGACTGGTTTCTTCCACACTGGAAGTTGTGGCTGAGGGAAGGAAG